AACTTTCGCAAGAAAATGTGTAGTTGAACAATACCGAGATCATGCAGTTACATTGCAAAAATGATATTGAAAAACTGAAACGGCGCGAACCTCGCAGATTTTCTGCACGGCAATGCTTGGCTTCATATTGCAAAATCGGTCAAAAACATCATGAAAGAGCTGAGATTTTAGAAGGTTTCACTCTATGCTCTTGCTCTCACGGCAGAGCGCGCGTGGCGCAGTGGTTAGAGGTGTTCCGCATCGCAAACGAGGTCTATAGCTCAATTTCGTGCTCATGGCTCATCGGACCATTCGCCCCCGGGGTCGGTGGACTTATCTGGGAGGATAAGCGGCGCTCATTCGATACAGCGGGTGCCTAGCGCGAGTCACTGTAGAGGCCAGATGTGCGTTCGATCACCTCGAACGAATTTGAAAATTGAAGACAAATGCGTGACGCATCCCTCAGGGGTTTCTCAACGCCCAGAGGTTCTTCCTTTTATTCTTCTAGTCTTGCGGTATTGCACTGTCACGCTACCACTTGAAAATACCAATTTCAAACTACAAATTTTGGAGAAAATGACGTTTTTCGGATGCAAGAGTCGACGAATTTAGAGTTGGATGGAAATCGTCATATAAAGTACTTTGTTAATAAGAAATATATAAATGAATTGCGTTTATAACGCCTTTCAAACAAGAAGATGAGAGTAATTCATACTCGTATTTTTACTGTTACAACAGCAACGAACGGCCGAATTGTATTAGTGCACCAATACATACATGTGTATGTATGCATGAATATATAGATACATACATATACATGCATATATATATATATATGTATATATACGCATATACATGTACATATACATATATACAAGGTGCAGAAAAAGCTATATCAACTTTCCTTTTGTCAATTTTAGTATTGATATGATATATTTCATCAGTGATGGTGATTTTATTGAATTCCTTGTTCAATTGTGGTCTGTAATCTGCTTTATTTATTTGTCTGTTTTCAGTTGTGCTTGATGTCGTGAAAGTCAGAGAATTGTAGTAGTTGAGATGCACAAGATGCTCGCACATGTTTCCGCCATAATTTCGTCACGAGCGCGTGTCAAAGCCGTTTTAAGCGCGTTTGCGATAGTGTGGCGACTGACCGGTACTTCTATCTTCAGCATGAGCCTCATGGAGTAATCCATTGGTTAAGATAAAGAAAATTGACAGCTTATTGTCACTGTGCCAAAACCCTGGAAATTGCTAGATGGCAATGCTAGGTTGAAAAGAAAGTTTCCATCGTTTGATAAAACATTCGAAATTTATGCACATACTCAGACAACAAACAACAACAACAACTATTCTTCAGGATACACGCCATCATTATCCACTACTTTTTACCATCGGTTCGCCAGGTTTCGAATCTGATCGACGTACCACTCTTTGACTTTGAATCAAAGAACTCTTATCATGTTTCTTCAACTTTATCAAAATATTCAAATGGGTGACTTTCCAAAAAGTGTTGCATTGATCGGAAAAGGCTGTAATCAGATAGAGCATCGTCCGGCCTGTAGGGTGGATGCGGTAGAATCTTAAATCCGTCCAGTTCCTCAAACTATCCCTTGGTCTTGATGGCTGTGCGTGGTTTTGCGTTGTCTTGCTCGTACAAACGTGCTTTCGACGAACAAATTCTGTACTCCTCGGCCAACTTGCAGATATAGGCAAATTATATATTAATAGATGCATAAGACGTAGACTCTTCAATTGATATGATAATTACCCACAATTCATACGAAAAAACGGCATTCCCTGTCCAAACAAGGGAAATTTCCTTTCCAACCTAATAGCTCAACGGATTGAATGCGCAAATTCTCGTTTGTGTTGAAGCATAAATCCGTCGGGGCCAAAGTGTTCAGTACTCCAAGGCTCATTTGTGCCCCGTGAAACTTGTTGGAGATAGCTGACAGCGTCAATCGCGAAGTTTCTGCTGATGAAAAACAACGGTGCTTTCGCGGTGACTCAAATGCCTGCCCACACCTTTAGACGAGCCGCAAAATGACTGTGGCCTGTAGTTTTTGCTATTTCGCACTTTACTGACCCTCCTTGAAAAGTTGACGTCGATTAAGGCTATTGTGGAGTTATTCGCTTTTACACGCGCCTTGGACGTTTACGGGGGAATTGTGTGCGAGCTTCTTGTGCAACTCAACTATTGCGAAACGGTAATTTTAAGATGCATAGCTTAAGCATAACTGAAAACAGACGAATAAAGTAAACAGATTATAGAGCAAAATTGGCCAAAAAGTTCAATATAATCATCGGCATTAATAAATAAATATCACATCAATGCTAAGATTAACAAAATGAAAATTGACAGCTCCCTCGGTACCCTACATTTCAAGACCTACCCTTGAAATCAATGAAATATGATAAAATTTTCTTGAGCCCTTCAGAGGCCTCGTATGACCTACCTTACATTGAGCTTTACAATGTGAAGAATCCATTTGGTTTCATGGAGATTATTTCTATTCATAGAAAAACGAACTTATTTGAGAAGAGCTTACATCTAGTCAGTCTGTTTATTCATATGTACGCATCGATCGCATAGGTTTCCGAATGTCAGCGTCCTGGTGTCGTGACAATGGAAGACGACAGACAATTTTAATTGGATGTTGATTTTTAGTAACTATAACAGTGCATGTATATTAACACTTTTCGCAGTAACTTTGTTGTTATGTTGTAATTTTACTATTACAAACACTGAACGCTTCCCGATGCAAAATGTGATATTGTTGTACAGCCTTTCTTTTAATCAAAGCATAAGATGACATTAGCTGTGAATTTGTATTTTTGTTGTTTTTGTAATGAGAAATATTGCGAATTGTTTGCTGTAAATCCATTCGTTTCACTTTTTGACGCTGTAAGAATTCGATTGTTTCATTTTTGAACCGATTGCTGTGAATCCGTTGGCCTAGCCTTTTGATGCTGTAACATTTAGATTTCTTTATTTCTTTATCAATAGAATTCATCGTGTAATACCAATTGCAAACCATAAACTCTGTAAATATGCTGTGATTACGGATTGAAGTACATTAGAGTACAAAGCGACATTTTCTACAGGTAGGAGTAGGTCTCTTTGGTGAGATGACGCGCTCATAGTGGTTCTCAAGTTTTTATTCGGTCACTGATGAACAGATCTTAGAGGCATGGACGCAAGATGTGGCTTTGATGGTGTAGTGGTAGCACACGCTCCCACTATGGGTGAAGCGTGGGTTAAATTCTCACTGAATTCGAATTTTTGGCTACCACATAAACTTCTTCGGTCTTTAGACATTCACCAGCTGGGAGAAAATGCTGGGCTTAATTACTTGCAAGGCAAATCTAAAGATTGCCCTATACGCGCTCATCTTACAAATGCATATAACAGATTTCTAGAAAATGACCTATTGAGATGATGAGCAGGAAATGAATGGGAAAGAACAATATTCTTACCTAGGACAGGAAAACTTTCAACAAAACTGCGCGGTCTACAGAGTTGGAAATAGTTCTAATCTTAAAGAAGTAATGTTTTACAGCAAAGCAGCGTGCTGTAATAATGTTTATTTTTAGCGGCAGAGTACGATGTAAGTTATAAATGCGAAAGAACTGAGAAATGAACAAATCGAAAGATATTGTTGCGATTGAGTTCATTAGACAAAACACCACGTACCAAATTCTGCTCATATATTGGCATTCTTGTGATTATAATAACCTATCGTTGTCTGGAATAAATTAAGGCGTAGTGCTGAGCTAGTGACCAGTACAAAACCTGGCGAACTTAAAATATCAGCATTCACAACATGGTATCGAATAGGCCTGTGAACAGGAAGCCAAATGTGCTTGATCCTTAGCAAATGCGTTTGGTCATAAACGCCTTATTGGTACGTGAAGCGACAAAACGAAGGTGTAGAAGCGAAGTGCTCAAATTTTGTTTAGAATGGATTCAGTTGATAAACGAAGAGCAATGGAACTCAGCTGGAAAGTGATTCTTACGACTATGGTACAGCATAAACTTCTTCCTCTTCTCCCTTATGACATATATCAAACAGTTGAAATGAATAATTCATAGAAGAATTGTACTAACACAACAATTAGGTATCTTTCTCAGTGACAGATTTGTACGATGACACTTCCCATTTCATTCTTCAGCTCCTGGTGATTTGCTAGAGCTTGGAGTATGATCAAGTTGGATAACAGTGTACAGATCATGCAAGATAACCCTGCGGTCCTTTCACAGCGACGAAAAGATTATTCCATAGCTTCAGCCAATGACTTTTTAAGAGCGCCAAAATCAATCTGTGTGTCGGAGTAATTTGATGGGAAAACATTAAAGTCGTCGATAAAAGATCTAACAGAAATTGGAAATATAATAAATATTCATTACTCATGAAAACTCTCTGAAGAAGAAGAGAATATTTATTACCTCGTAAAATGCTGCACATATACGCACGAAACAAAAGCGCTGTTTATGTACACATTATGTCAAACAATAAGAAGTAGGTGAAAGAAACGGATGTGCTGACTTGACCACTTCAAATTATAAAGAAATACATGTTTGCTACGACTGTAAGCATGAAACCTGGTCTAATACTCTAATCACTACACTGCAGTGAGAAAATACGAATGCTAAACCTCAAGTGCATGAACTCTGCATCTGAGCAGAAAGCACTTGAACATCTTCTTCTCTGATTATCTCAGATGTTTGAATTGGATCAGTTTAAGAGTTGAATGTTGAAGATGACCGTGAGTATCAAGACAAACTCACATAATCACGATAGTAATGAGAGAACAAAAATGAGGAGAAAAAATATGCTTTAATTTGCATCAGAAAGTGTTAGAGAGGCCACAGAACGATGGTACCGACATTGTTCAGCTAAGGAGCGGTTATTTTTTGAAAAGCTTCAGCAGTTCTATGAGCTGGCTTACTGAGGAACTTTCTTCGTTCATGTAGACCTTCAAAAGAAAATCTTGAGAGCGCTGTTCGAGATGACTAAGAGTAAAGCCCTATTTCAGCAATTTATACTGTCGTAATAGTATGGTAAACACTACCAAACCTTGGTATTCCACATCATATTAATAAGCTTTAGATCGTCCGTTTCGTCCAACTCAACAGGAGAGCTATGTATAGGTGAAAATCGAAAGAAAGGCACAGAGATGGAGTGGCTCCAAGACCTTGCGTAATCTACGACGCTTCCATCAGCATTTGCAATCTACAAAAGACGATAGCCACCATATAAGAGCATCATGGATATGATTGAATGGAATACCTACCTGGTCAATGAATAAGTTCCTCAAATGAGAAATAACGGCGAGATTCTTAGTCACTCCCACAATTTCTGCAATATTCCTAGGAAGACTAAGATTGAGTGACTCAATGAGAGCTTCAGGTGTTTTTCCTGTGCCTATCGATACGATGCAGCCGATTCGATAACATTGCTCAGCTTTGCTTGAAATCAAATTCCGACTTTATAAAAGTTTGTAAAATACAACATTATATTGATACCTAAGGAAATAGTATTGGTTGCTCATTAAAAAACGAACAATTAGTTGTTTTTGTTTGACCGCTTTCAGCGATGGTGCGATGTTAAAAATATACCCAGTGGTGTAGAGTGATGTGCAAAACTTCCTGGGTCAGCGCGACTCAAACCCGCATCTCACTCTATCCGGGAGCGCGTGCTCTAACCCGTTGCATTACTGACGCCCGTTCTGCCATCACTCTTTCTACGTTACAACGCATGACTGGGCCCAGTGCCGATACCGATTATCTGGGCTAAAGCATACTTGAAGTGAAGCGTCTGCCAAGATTTTACGAATTTACTATCCCATCACCACTCAGAGGAAAAACTAAGTGACTTTCTCACTCAGCTTTCATTTTTTTACTTTGTAAGCTTGCTCGTGACATTATCTACTTGTTTACATCCACACACACTTATTTGATTGAATTTTAAACTTAGTGACCAATCGGACTAACTGGATATATGATCTATAGAACCCAGCTGCTTCAAATCTTAGGCGAGGACTTTACGAAACATTTACTGTAGAGCCAAGGCAGCTGATAAAAATTTAACCCTTCGGATACGACATGGACACTGCGCTAGTCTCACCTTGTCACACGTTTCAAGCATTTCGTGGTGTCGAGTGGTTAGTGGTGCCGACTATTGAGAAGAAGGTTCCTAGTTGGCTTTATCCTACTACGACGCTTCATAGCAGGCTTTCGGTGTTCCTTGTGGTGTTGATTAGTACTGAGGTTCTTGTGTAGACGTGATTATTATAGCAAAAAAAAATGCTCAGCTGTGAACATTCCTATATTTTCGTACGGAACATAGATCAGTGAGGTAACAACTCATACCTAAATTTTTGCGTATCTCTTACGGCGATAATGTGAACTTCGGAGTCGGAAAAGAATTTTTCAAAATGCACGACTTTTTAGAAGGAATTCAGTAGGAGTGGACAGTCAGTCCTGTTAAACATGTGCCCTAGTTCCATTGTTACTTCATGATCTACGCATCATATCATGAAGACGTGATGACATCTGAGCTTTTTTGCCATTATCAAATCTGTAGAGGAACCTACAACACTGATCGACGCCAAACATAGCAGCCAAAAGCGCATCGTGAACCGCTATCTGAGGAAATTGAACTAGCAGCCTTCTGCTCGATGGCCAACAGCACAACTATTTAGTTGGCAATAAGGACTTCTCAGCAAAGACGAACAAGGCGGAAATAGCTTCCCTTCCCTGTTGTACTCAGAGTGTCACTTCTTTCTTTAAAACATACTCAAAAATCTTCTTTTCCTTGTTTAGGCCTGCTATCCATTTCACGCGCTGATTTGAGATTTTCTCGGTCCCCTCGAAAGATCTTGTGGCTGCCTGCAGCTATCATGTTCCGTCTAAAACTTCGTGAGAGAAATATTATAAAGTTAATGCTACTTTTCAGTCGGACACTGCACATAGCTGGATGCATTTGAAAAGTTATTATCCGTATATGCTGCTGAACATGATAAAGCTGGATTGTAGTCCTCTAGTTCTCTTGCAGCTTCACAATTTTTCTTTTTTTTTTTGGTGCAAGAGTCAGTGCGTACAGTAAGAAAGAATCCGTCCAATGCCTTCCAAAGGGAAATCAGCCCAGAAAAGTTATTTACTACTTGTAGGATCACCAGGTACGTCTAAATACTGTTCTTTGGTGATTCGTGGAAATATAAAGCCTGAAGGAAATTATTTCTTCATGTCAATATGTAGAGGAGCCTGTGAATGGATATAAAACAGTCCATGTGCTCAAAGGGAATTTTTTCGGCATTAGAACCTCTATGCTTCTAATGCAATGAAATACATAAGCGAGTATTCGCAGATATTTCGGAATAGATCAGTTTGGTTGATTTCACAAATAATATGCATATCTGAACTGCTCATTACTTATATTGTCACCAAGAGCACCTGATTTAACAAAAAAAAAATTGTAGAACTCTTTCCCACTTCAACGGAATCGTGTTTTCGATCCGCTTGACTCGACCGCCATTAATGTGAAAGAGATACCTACACAATTCAGAAAATTTGAAAAGATATAAAGGTGGTTCTGAGCATCAGTTTCACAACACTGTTGAAAAATATGAGAATAAGGCTTAAGAACTGTTTCCTAATCACAGGATGCGATAAATCACATCTGTGGTCATCATTAACTATGTCAATGCTGGACGCTTCCTAGACGTTACGCGTATTTTTATCGTTAATCATCCTTTTATAACTAGACAACATGTGTTATTTTTCCCGAAGGCTTATTTCTATATAAACAAATATTTTTTCGGCTACTTTGTGGTAAGTAGTCAAATGGAAGACCGGCCGGCCTCATTCGCTGGACAGGAATTTTTATAGGAGTGTCAGTAACTATTCGAAAGCTATGATTTCTGGCCATAGCCACACGTCGTCGGTCCCAAAGCCTTTTTATGTTGCAAAAGGAAATTCCTTGCGTAGCAGGCGCGCATATTTCTCGCCGGGTCGTGGTGCGTTAGAGAGAAGCGGTCTTTTCAGAACATAATCGCAGCGTTGGAATCAGCAGCGATTTCGCTATCGAGTGATTATCGATAGTCCAAAAAAGAGCTCTGTCCCTTAAAAAATACGTTCATCTGAAACTAGCTTTATTTTGGATTTTACAGCGGTATAAAAGGTGTTTTGAAAATCCGGCGACGTGCGACTGTGGCAAGAAATCTCAGCTTTCGAATGGTTACGAAAAACCATTATAGAACGTTTCTCTACAATAAA